GATATACAATTTGTAACAGTTTGCAGAACAAACTAATGTAATATACAATTTGTAACAGTTTGTAGGACAATCCATGTAATATACAATTTGTAACAGTTTGTAGGACAATCCATGTGATATACAATTTGTAACAGTTTGTAGGACAAACCAATGTAATATACAATTTGTAACAGTTTGTAGGACAAACCATGTAATATACAATTTGTAACAGTTTGTAGGACAATCCATGTAATATGTAATATCCATTTCAGTTTTTATTATAAAACAATCAACATCATACATATGTTTCATATAAATTTTTAAGAGAGAGTATTATTGTTTAAACAGACCACAGAGATTGAATACTTCCTGAGCAGAGAAATCAGTGAAGATCTTGACAAGCTGACAGATATTTTTCAAGAAGCCAATATCAAACAGCACAGCTCACGTTTTCTTGCAGCAGGCTTTAGCATACATGAAAAGTAATGTTTCGAAAGGTGTGGAACAGCTTCAAGAAATAAACAGTAAAATTGACCATGTGGACCTACAAAAAATTCCAGAAACAATCCATCAGGTGGAACTTTTCAGGTACACTGTTACAAATTGTGTGATAGAGTTAATTTAGCTTTGGGATTAAAATTCTATTAACTGAATGATACAAGTTAAGTGAGGTTACAGGAACAACTTATAGTATGGGAGTGAACGTGATGGTTTGCAGTTTTATGCATACTTCCAACAGTTACTCATACTTCAAAAATAATTTGCAAAGTACAGTGGTTTCCCGTTATATGTTACATTGCTCTGCATTGTTTCATTATTATAGTGTTCACCAGTTACTACTCATGTATCAAACAACGTTGCCTTGTTTCATTACTAGATCATTCAAATATTGTCGACTACTTTTCCAGTTGTATTGTTTACCAGTTACTACCAATATTTTTGAAGTAGTGGCACCTTGTTTCATTACTAGAGTGTTAAAACATTGTTGGACTACTTTACCAGGCATAGTGTTCACCAAGTACTATACAGTAATGTACTCCTAGTATGTGTTTGAAGCAATGTTGCTGTGTTCCATTACTAGAGCACGCCAATGTTGTCGGACTAGTTTACTGGTTGAAGTGTGATACATCGTCCACTGGCCAAGACGGTGGAGGATGTAAACACATTGTGTTTGCAAGCTATTGTTTGAGCACATTGATGTTTCTGCAGCAGAAAAGCCTTGTTTACACCCTTCCAACATGGATCCAAAGTGGTCACCTAGTGATAGTAAAGTGCCCTTTGTCAAGAAGCCCAGGAAAACAATTAACTTTGGCACTCAACTAGAGATTTTATGAACACTTTAAGGCAGGTGAATGGGCTGTGGACATTGTCATGTTACACTCTTTAAAAAAGTTATTCAAGAGTAGACCGTAATTTTTCAGGAATGCACCCTCCCTCTCCTAATATATGTAGAGATTGTGTTGCTTAACTTCATTTTAGACGTACATCCCACTTTCCAGGAATGCAACATGACATATAATGGGGACCCCCTGTACGTAATACTGTACCAGTCTTACGTTTTCTTTTGTTGCCTCTGCATGGAGTTTACAGGTGGGTGACATATCAGTCTATCAATATCTTCGTCTCGTCTGTAATGTGCCTCTACATAAATAATGAGATCAAATTTATCCTTTTTAGATAAAAATTTGTTTGTGAACAATTTTAGTGTATTCATTTACTTTTGACTTTAAAAATTCTGTTTTCAGGCATGTTGCTTTAAATTTTCCTAACTAATTGTTAGATCATTTTCTGTACATTAAATTATTTTTACAGCAAGTACTGATACTGATAGAGTGTGTTACAGTAAGTCATCAAGGTGTAATAAGGTTATAAGTTTGGAACTGTATTAGTTAAGTCTGCAGTGCTTTATAAAATTGGACCACACCTACTTGCCATTAATTTAAAACTGTATCTGGGTGTTACAGTTACACAATGTAATCGAACAACCAGGATTTTGAGTGGGTATGACTGGGTGTTACAGTTACACAATGTAATCGAACAACCAGGATTTTGAGTGGGTATGACTGGGTGTTACAGTTACACATTATGATCAATCACCATTTTGAGTGGGTATGACTGGGTGTTACAGTTACAATGTAATCGTTATAATCAGTCACCAGGGTTTTGAGTGACTATGGCTATGGTGAATCAGGGTTTAAGCTTTTGTTCAGTTTTCAAGTTTTATTTAATGAAAAATTGTTTCTAGGTATTACTGATGCTGTGACATTAGCCTTTCCTAAATAATTTTCTAATACATGAATAATGCTTCTATTTGATTTAAAAATTTTTGTGCTACAGTACATAACAGAAGTATTTGATTTAAAAGTAATATTGTGTTCAAGTGATAGTAAAATAAGTACATAAACAAACTATTTTCTATTACATTTCAGTACGTTAATTCGGATATTACACCTTACTTCTTCTCACATAATAGCTTTCCTTGATTTGTGCTGCCCTCTATATGCACAATTTTTGTTCGCCACTAACCTTGAGGCTACCACTTAGCATCACATATTTACAGGTGCATTGTAGCATGCAAGTGAGCATGCGACAACCCTCCACCAGTAGGAGTGCGACACACCCTCTGCACAGCTGACTCCCTTCATACTGTAGAGTACAATCATCACTTATCATTTTGACACTCGTGTGTAATGATGTGTATTTTATTTTCTTATGAACTTTTCAGATTTAGGCATTTTTTTAGTGGAAGTATCTACAAAGACATTGTTTCACAACTTTCAGTAACTTCCACTTTGTCTGGTGTGAAACAACATTACTTTGTTCATACTAGCCTACCATCTCTATTGGCATTGGGTTTGTCTTTGTTTGTTGGGAGAAGTGATGGCTTTTGTGCAGCAGGTGGTAGACTCTTTCATTGGGCCTGGGCCTTCTCTTGTCCCTGAAATACTTCTGCCTATGTTTCTTGTTTGTGACGGAAGAAATTTTGCCAGTTTTTCTTTCCCTCATTTTATATCCAAATTATCTTGATTCTGTCTCAGCCTTTTTTCATGATTTTTGTGACTAGGTTTCTCAGGTATGTTTTTTACATATTCAGTTATTTTTGCCACTACTTTGAGACATGCATGCCTCATCGTCCTTCCTTTGTTACCTCATATGTTGGTCCTAATGGCTTCAGTCACTAGTGGATGGATTTCTCATCCTTTTTCAGGTTTTGATTCCTGTCTTTTCTTGGTTCCCAGGGAATCTGTAGATAGGTGATGAGTCTTACATCTTTCACATCTCAGTCAGTTTCTCAGCTTCCATCACTTTTCCATAGGAAATTTCTCACCCTACAGTTATCTTTCACCCCATGTCTTGAGATGACCAAGGTGGACAACTTGGATG